TCCAAGGGCGTCAACTCCATGAGCTTTGCTGGGTGGCATGCGGCCGTGGAAACGGTGTACGATTTCGGCTGTGATGGGCTCGAGTGGTTGTCGGGCGGCTGCTGCCTTTGCCAGTGTCAACGCTTGTAGGATGTCGTCGGGGGTCTCGGTGGCCTGCCATACTTGATGCCATTGTTGCTTCTTGCTGTCCATGATAACGGTGGGGTCGGCTATGGTCTGGCTGGTCGTGTAGGCCTCGATGTGTCGTACGGGCGCGGGCTTGACATGGGCATGTAGTACTCCAGGGCGGTGTTTCCATTGCTTGGCGAGCCAAGCTCCGTAAGCCCTCTTAGACTTGGCGAGGGCTGCGGAGAGCGCTCTGGAGGCCCAAGTAGCGGTAATAGTGACCAGGTCGTCGGTGTCCTCTTTGTCCAACTGCGGGGCCCAGACAAGAGCGAACCAGCGGAAGATGGTGTCCTCGTCCTTCTCGAACTGGAGGTCATGGAAGTGAGTGTTGAAATGGTCCGCGCGCTGCTGGATGATGGAGGCCTGCTGCTGCATGAGCGCTGCGTGCTTGGGCTTGTCGTGGAGCGCTGCGTAGCGCTTGATGAGGGTGAGCGTGATTGCCCACCATTCCGACTGTGGATCATGAACGTGTACACGGCCTGGGGCGGCGGCCGTCTTCTTCCAAGACAACTGGTAGCCTTGGGCTCGGCCTGTGAAGGCTGCGGCTTCCTTGGGGTCGATCTGGTGATGGCTGATCATGGTGTTCTCGAGCGCCGTGACCCATTTGGCGTACTGGCGGTTGAGGTCGTCGGCCTCGCGTGGCCAGTGGGTGTACACGAAATGCGCGTGGGTCTGCTTACAACGTGTGGGTACAGCTTGATGTCAATGTACCTCCCAGAGGTCGCTCGGGATAGCGTACGGGATGGGCTCCTGTGCTGCTGGCTCGTCCTGTGGCTGGAGTTGTGCAGCTGCTTGTTGGAGTTCAGGAGGTAGATCGCGTAGGCGTTCTGCTCGAGCTTCTGCTGTTTTACGTTTCTTGATGGCGGTCTTGCTGTCAGGGTCTGGTGGGGTCCTGGGTCTGTCCATTGTGGGGAATGCCCTAGGGGTATTGATCGACTGATACCACCAGGGGTCTGCGCTGCCTGCACGAACTTCAAGGCCCACGTGGGTGGCCCAGGGGACGGTGGGGCATTGGCGAATGGAGAACGTGTGCTCGATGCCAGTCTTGACCAATGCGAAGTCGAGCGTGAGACCCTGTCCCTTGTCGCACGTGGCGGTTCCAGGCGCTCGCACGATGGTAGCATTCCATTTGGCGGGCCACTCTGTTGCTGCAAGCTGCTCAGGTGTCATATTCCAATCGGCCAGGATGATCCACGGGTCAGTGAGCATAGTAACGAAAGCTCCCAGAGATAGTAATTTCTCGTGAACAGCTCCCTCGATCTGTCTGTGGGGTTCGAGGTACGCTGCAATAACAACTAGATTGCCAGAGCGCCTATGCCAAACCATAGGCGTGAAGCCTCGGAACGGGTCGGGCTTGCGCTGGGAGATGGCCAGGTCGCGGAGGTGGTTGAAGGTCGTGGCCTGGACGTGGTACCTGGATAGGATCATCTCGCCACCCGTGTTGCCTCCTTCGGATCTGCTGGTCGGCGTGGCTGTAGTGGATGATATCCTCCAACCATCCGCTGCTAGCTTGTCGTAAATGAGGGGGGGCTTTACCATGCGAGATGTGAGTTTCAACGAATGCCACCATCTGGTACTGTTTGCCTGGCCCTGCCAGCCATTTCTCCGACTGCGGCCCCCACTGTGTAATGTTGGAAAAGAACAGGGAGTGGTCTGACGGCGTGGGATTCATGAGGCCTCCGTGATGGTGGGCGGGTGTGGGGTCGGGTGTCGGCCTGCTAGGCTTCCATGTGCCTTCCTCTGCGGTCGAGTCGATGGCCTTCGCCACCTCATCGCCCCCTACCAAGGACTGCGTCTTGGGCGGGGCGGCATCAGGGACGGCTCGCGCTGCTCGCTGCGGCTGCCCTGGGTCCCATGTCACTGTGTCGACGGCCTGTGCCGCCTCATCGCCCCCTACCGAGGACAGCGTCTCGGGCGGAGCGGCATCAGGGTCAGCAAGCGCGGCGCGCTGCGGCTGCCCTGGGTCCCATGTCACTGTGTCGACGGCCTGCGCCGCCTCATCGCCCCCTACCGAGGACAGCGTCTCGGGCGGGGCGGTGTCGTACTGCGTTGTGGCTGCGAAATCGATGTGGCCGTCCAACTCGGCCAGCTCGTCGAACGGGTCGAGGACTGCGTCCATTGTGTTGATGATCTGTGGGTTGTCGTAAATCTTGGTCTGTGACGGTAGGCGTCCCATCTCACCAAACCGTCCAGGATGGGGTAGTAGTCGGCTAAAGAGATTGCTGGGCACCAGCCACGGCGGTCGCAGTAGGCTTGCGCAGCTGACTGAGCATCTTCTGTGCCTTG